TTGTGTTCCGACTTCAAGGCCCTGGTAGGCGTAGCATTTGTCGGAAGACACATCCATTGGAGAATAATTGCCGGTTTGCTAGAAAGAGCACTCGAAGCCAGCCAAAAAGCTGAACTAAAAGTGCGTGCTATTGTCTGTGATCAAAATCGCAGCAACTTTAAAGCACTTAGAATGGCTAAGGATAACGATGATCAATATCGATTGACATCTCGATTAAATATTATTCATGATTATGTACATCTGTTTAGAAATATACGAAAAAATGTAGAGCTTCACGACTTCCAATTTGGCACAAACATTATGTTCTGGGATATTATTGAACAGTTTAATATGGACGATGAGATGCGTACTACTTGGTTGGCCCCGAATCTTAATTGTTCGTTGCGTTTCACAGAAGAAAACCTTTACTCGGCGAATATTGATCCGCATGTATTTACTAAGGCGGTTAGTAGTGACATACAAATTACTGCTGATAGTAAATTTAATAATGTTTTGATGGCAAAAAAATACTGCCATATTTATACAAAAAATGAGTGAGGGCTTTAATTTATTAGAGCCGGGAAGTTTTTCGCCGGATGAGGAAGTTAGTGTAGGGTTAACTAATTTAAAAGCAATAAAAGTTCTCCCGCACAACCGCTGAAATCTAACATTTAATCGCGCCAATGCGGTGGAAAGGGGAAACTAGTTTTGGGAGAGAGAAGCGCCCTCTAGAGAATGCGAGCGGCGAAAAGTATTCCAATCGCACTCTGATGTTGTCCTGGATTTGGCGAAACTTCTGCGTGTTTAAGGATGTTTAAGCTCAAAATGACGACATCCATTGAAATAAAAATATTCCGAAAAACTAATTAAGATTTCTTATTTTGTGCGATATTATGAATTTCATTCTAAATATTGTTTTCTTATCAGCGCAAATATGATCGCAGCATAGAGTAATAATGTATAGATACGACATTTCTTGTGCCGCTCTCTTTGGAGATTTTGCCAATGAAGCCACCTAGGCGAAAAATGAAAATTTTCCTTTTTGTCAAATGTTCGATTCGAACCTTCACTTTTTTCCCATGTTGAATTTTTGCAACTGCACTGCTCGCTCTTATTGAAAATTTGTTGGCTTATGATAAATGTGGGAGAGCAAGCTATATAGCTATATTGCTTGTCTTTTTGTTTTTGCCTTGAAAGCAAGGCCGCGGTCCTCTGGGAAGAAATTCAAAAACCACATGGGCCCGTATAACAAAGTCCACATGGGCACGGATTCAAAATCCACATGGGCAAAAATTACAAAGTCCGCGGATTCAATTTCTGTAGGAGATGGAATGAAAGTCAACATGAGAGATCTGGACTAAATTATAATTTAACATTCGATCCAGACTTTTGGTAATTCATATTTTAATTATTATAATATAAAACAAGCAATATTAATAAATAATAAGGATAAGGAGATTTATGTAAGTAAATGTAATTTTAATATTTCTTATAGATATAATAATTTTTATACATTTTAGGCAATATGTACCCTTATGTACCAGCAGCTTATCCGCCGGGGTACCCCGTACCAGGCACAGTACCCGGCATCTTACGCCCCGCAGCCTTACGACTACTATCCCCCGCCCCTGCTCCCTCCTGCCACTGTGCTGCAGCATGACCTGCAGCTGGGCCACCTGCAGAGGATAAATCTGAACAACTAAAAAGTATATAATAATATAATATACTATAATATAATGGACTATATCTTAGCTGTTGTTCTGCAAAGTCTTGATGGCCTTTGCCCTCGTCGTGTTGGCTGCCTGATGACCAGCTCATTGATCGCAAAACTTCAAGACATCTTATGCAAGATAGAATATTGTGCAATCACGACTGACGGATGGACATCAAAAGCGAACACTAATTATTTGACAATAACCTGCCACTTCATTAGTGATTTTGAGCTGAAGTTGGTGGTTTTGTCAACCATGCCTCTTGTCAATGAACATAATCACACCGGGCAAAATATTGCACACACTTTGGAGCTCGCGTTGAATGAATGGCATATTTTTAATAAAGTGGTTGCTATAGTCACGGACAACGCAGCTACAATGCTAAATGCGTGCAAACTTGAGCTGAGCTCAATATCATCTATGACACAAAATCGGATGAATTCTATCAAGATTAGAATTGTCATAAGTTAAAAAGAACTACATATTTTACAGAATAAGTAATACAATTTTTGAAACTGTAGGTCATCTTATATAAAATAGACAGGAGGTATAAGGAAGGCCTTTGTTAATTTGTTTTTACTCTGTGCTTATTAGGGATGTCGGAAATATATCAAAATATCGAAATTTTTTCTCTTAAAAAAAAATATTATCATCGCGATATTTTTTGGGCAAAAAAAGACGATTTTGACGATATTTTTGTATGATATTTCCGATTTTTTATGTTTGGTCAGAAAGCCAGAAAGCAAAGTGAGAAGTGTATGTGAAAATGAGTGCGGCAAAAGATTTTTGTACAGAATCAAATGCTACTTCTGCGAAATGCACACAGAAATGCTCTCAGTGGAGGAGCTTAATATTTGTCGCGATTTTTGCCATGTTCTCCGCTTTTAAAGAAGCCGATGATAATGTGAGCGGCGATTCTTACGTGACCGTCAGCTTAGTGATTCCTATGATTTCTATGATTAATACAAAATTAAAAGAAGCTAATATGGATACCGCTGATGGCATTCTAACAAAATATACCCTTCTACAAATATCACAAAAGCGATTGAGTGGTTTGCTGCAGAATAACATACTCATGAAAGCCACATAGCTTGATCCCCGATTTAAAAAAATGTATTTCGATATGCCTCTTCACGTAAAAAATGTCACTGATGAAATCAAAAAGCAGATGGTTGAAAAAAAGCAATCAGAAATACTGCCTTCGTCTGTAGGAGAAATGGATTGCAAAAAAATCAACTATGCCCATGCTAGCGAAGGTGGCGTTAGTAGCCTGATCACGCCTGGTAGTTCGGTTTCATCGGAACGGTTGGCTTCTGCCATAAAGTGTGTTGTTTGTGACTCCCGTAGTCGTATGACATACAAGCATGTAAGTGTTTTTCTTAAATCATTAAAAACAGATTTGTTTGCGAATTATTTAAAAACAAGTACAAATGTATGTAATTTCATGAATTATATTTAAAAACAATAAGTTCAAATGTATTTAATCAGTATCTTTATAAATAAAATTGAAAACAATGGGCTGTGCCATATCCCTAATAATTTTGTTATTTTATTTATTTATTTATCTAATGCTAACAAATAGTATTAAACTAAGCGCTAACAGTGGTTTTTTTTTGGAGCCATAGCAGCTTAGGCCTTCGGCTCGGGGCTTAAGTTGTGGGTTTACATATCTACAAGATTATACTATTTATGGGATCCTTAGATTCTAATTGTATTTACATTGATGTTTATTTATATTTTGTGCATTATTTTTGAACTTTTTAGGAACTTTATGATGTTGTGGGAGTTCGAGTTTAAGGGATTGGCTATTATTTTCTTATTATTTTTTATAAAAGACCTATAAAAGACCCAAATTTACAGCAACAGGACACCATTTTTCAAATTTAGCTGAACATTAAAAAATATCAAAAAAATTCGATATATCGATACTTTTCTATGATATTTCTTAATATCATCGTGTGATATTTTTCAAACAGCAAATATCATCGATACGATAATTTTTCAAAATCCAACAGCCCTAGTGCTCATATGATGGACATCAAAAGCAAACACTAATTATTTGACAATACCCTTTGATTTTGAGCTTAAGTCGGTGGTTTTGTCAACCATGCCTCTTGTCAATGAACATAATCACACCGAGCAAAATATTGCACACACTTTGGAGCTCGCGTTGAATGAATGACATATTTTTAATAAAGTGGTTGCTATAGTCACGGACAACGCAGCTACGACGCTAAATGCGTGCAAACTTGAGCTGAGCTCAATATCATCCATGACACAAAATCGGATGAATTCTATCAAGATTAGAATTGTCATAAGTTAAAAAGAACTACGTATTTTACAGAATAAGTAATAAAATTTTTGAAACTGTAGGTTATCTTATATAAAATAGACAGGAGGTATAAGGAAGGCCTTTGTTAATTTGTTTTTACTCTGTGCTCATACTCCTCCGATTGGGGAATGAGCAAGCCTGTTGCGCAGTGTCTTGCATAAAAGTGTGACCACGGCCGGCCGCATGCCATTTTTAGTACATATATTTGTTTGTTTAGTATATTTTTTCCGATACCGATATAGTTCGAATTTTGCAACACTACCTTAAGGCCATCTTTACACTGGACTTTTATGGTGTTCAGACTGAGCATAGAGTAAATAAATAAATATTATATTCTGGACGCACTCTTTTTCAATGCACCTGGAACATAGGGATCTCATATTTAGATTCCTTGATTCCTTGAGCGCAGCGCATGTTTGTCACCCGAATATGCCACGCCCACTCTAACGCCCACAAAGCGCCCAAATCTTTGGCGCCCACAATTTTCATGCTGATAAAAAACTGAAATGTATTAGTCTCGTCAATACCTATCGATTGACCCACATAACCATATATTGCTGTTCAGGGGGTGGGGTTTTTGCCGGAGACTTTTTGTGGATGATCTTGATGCCTGATCCTGTGCCACAGAATGAGCGGCTCGAAAGCGCTACACTGAAAATTGATCACGGTTTTCCCGAGCACATAAGAATACTACAGAATACTACTACTCAGGCACCCTGCCGACACAAACTGCACACGAAGCTCAAGAATCTACATGTGGAGTCCCAACTTTCTAGCTTTTTTAATTTCCGAGATCTCAGCACTCACACGGACGGACGGACATGGCTAGATCGACTAGGCTAGTGATCCTGATCAAGAATGTATACACATCATAGGGGAAGGGTTTCCGACCCTTCTACCTGTTACATACTTTCCGACGCATCTAATGTATCCTTTAACTCTACGAGTAACGGGTAAAATTATAAAAAAGGTGCGTCTTATAAAATCTTATATTAAAAATAAATATAAGAATCTATTTTTTGGACAGTCATCACAATATTTAGTTTCAGTTTTGGTCTTTATAATATATCCACAGTTCTTTGTCGTCTTGGCGTTCATTGATGGACAGACTCAAATACTCTTCGTCGATAAAATTTTTCTAAAACAATGCGACCATTTTATTATTTGGAATAGTCAAACCTGATCAGTTTTCTTACCGGTTCAATAAAAACTTGACTGACGAAACAGCTTAACTTCAATGGACCCCGGAGTTTTGGATCTCTGACTAATTTTAATGCTTCAATTGCTCGCTCCACGAAATCAGCACTGATAAGCTGCACTCGAGAATTAAAATGCAAATCTATGAACTGGATTTGCGAGCATTCTTGAAAAGACAGCACAAGATGATCAGATATTTCCATGAATTTTGGATAAGACTTGATTTCCAAGCATTCAAGACGGCTGAGGTTTTTAATAAGGGAAAAGCTTAGTGCATCCCGAATTCCACACCTAAGTTTTTTCAGTGATGCAATTTGCGTAATTCTTGTGACCTCTTCAAAGTCCAAATACCGGTGGGTGATAACCAGATCCTCTAGTGTGTGAGTTAAGCCAGCGGGCAATGGCTCAAATATATATTTCACAGAGTACTCATCATTTGGCAATTCGATAAACAATCTTTGACGATCCAAGTGCTGAGCCACTCCTTTGAGGTTTTTAAAATATGATAACATAAGATCTCGGGAAATGTGGTCTGGTATGCGAGACATTAAATTTTCTTCCTGCTCAACTTTTTCAGAATCTCTCTTGGGAAAATTTCTGCGCCCAATTATAAGTGATGTTAATTCAAAAAGCCGAACAAGGCCTCTGATATCAATTAATATTTGAAATCTGTAAATAAGCTTCTGCAATGATTTAATTTTTGAAAACTCATCGGCTTCATATTGAACAATTGGCGCACCTTTGACGACCAATCTCTGTAAAGTGGATCCGCTTGCCAGACCCAACATTCTGAAAAGTTCCACAAGGGGTGTGCAACCTTGTTCATTTGAAATGATCAGTTCTTTAATACAAAGTTGTTGTGACCCAATCTCGAATGCAACTGTCCCCTCTGCAAGCAAACGATCAGGGACTTTAAAATCATTCAGAGAAAGTTTCCTGAGAAGGCTTTTCATAACATTTTCTTGATTGAGGCCAACAATTAAGTAAGTCAGTTCTGGTAACCCAGACAGCATTTCGAGGTCCTTAGGATGGGAGAAACCGCATTTTAGAGTCCTCAGAGATTTAATGGCAGTCACTTCTTTCAACTCGATAGGGTTAAGTTTTAGAACGCTTGATTTAGCTTCATCCCTATTTGTCTCCATTATCAGTTCTTGAAGAGACAGATTTTGCCTTGAAGCTAATTTAGCCATAAAGTATTGAAGTGATCTTCCTTTATTATCACCCAAAATTCGCACAGACCTTAAATTATTAAGGCTTGCCAGTGGGCCGATATCATTGGAGTCAGGAGAAAATGCGTTAGAAAGTGTTAATTGGCCAGTTTTACTGTTAAAACTTATTTCCTTTTTCTGATCACTGATGGTTAGCTCTTCCTGAGTGGAATTAAAAATGTCGACCATGTTCTCTAAAAATTTGTTATCAAAGGAATCCCCAATATCGATATGGTTTAAATGTGCCAAATGCTGAAAGCTGCGTGGGTCGTCTACTTTGCCATGAAATTTCCTAAGAGATTTAATATTAATTAGTTCCAGTGTCTCACTAAAATCAAGAGATCCGCCGTCAACTTCGAGTTTTTTAATATGATTATTGGTCCTCATAGATAGGGCATTGAAAAATGTTTTTAAGTTGCCGCGCTTATTGGTTATTTTAATGTTTTCTAACCATTCTAAACTGGCTAGGGGAACCAGCAGGGTCTCATCTGAGTACGTCTCGAAAATACTCATTTCAAGAACAATAAACCTTAGTTTACGATTAAACATTAACAAAATGTCTCTTGTGGATACGCTCATTGCATTTTCCGAGGACTGTAAGACTTTAAGAACACCAGGAGAAGTTTCATGGAAGTTTTGCATAGAAGTAATTTCAAGCCTTGCAAGGTGTTCTTTAGCTAGGTCTGAGAATTTATTGATGTCCTGGGCGTCGAGAAAGGCACACTGCACCACTTTCAAAGATTTTATTCGAACCAATTCTGCAGCTTCCAAGGAATCGATCGCTCCATTTAGGAGCCGAAAATGTTGGAGAGATGGCACTTCCCTTGAAGCTAGAGCGGCAAATAGGGCCTGTAGCGAACCGTTGGTTGGTTTTGTGGTAATGGTTAACTCTTCAAGTGCAAAAAGATTGTGTAGAAGATGTATGTTGCCGGTGTCGGAAAATCCACAAACTAATTTTTTCAAGGACCTACAATTAGACAGTGCTGCAATTTCCTGCACTTTAATCACCGGAGTAATTTGGGGTCTCAACTTCCATCCCCTTTCTAGTAGGTTTCTAAACACTTCTGTAAATGGATTCATTGTGTTTATTATCAAAGTAGGTACCTTAACCAATTCAAGCTTTTTAAATATTTCAACAAGAGTACCTTGTTCATAACTACCGTTTATTTCGAGGCATCTTAAATGTGGCAAAGTGAGCAACGACCCATAATCCGAAGCACTAACTTGGTTCAGAATAAGGCGCAGATTACCCTTTGGGTTATAGTCCATTAGACAGTCTTTTGAAAGTATTTTCCTTTTCCACTGAGACTCCTTCAGAATCCTATATATTTGTTGCGAAATACTTATAAACGTATGCTTTGATAGAACCTCTAGACTGTTCAGGTAAATCATTCTTGAAATAGGCTCAATACTTTGGGGGTCCTTAAATCCACATCTTAAGTTGTTTACCAACTTAATCTGAGCTAAAGCCGTGGTTTCGTCAAAGTTTAAAACAGCATGATCTATGGATAACTTTCTGAGCAGCATGGGCTCCTTTCTGGCCAGCGCTATAAGAAGGCGCTGTAAAGTACCCGGTTCGTGCTCTCCGTCAATCCTTAACTGTTCCAGTCTTTGCATTTTTGCTAATGGGGCGTATTCTGAGGCATCACCGTCTAACTTCATCTTAAAATCAAAGCGAATCACCTGATTACAATATGGTGCAATATCGGCTAACCTTCGACCCGTCATTTCGCTATTCAAAACGGTAAGATCTCTCAAGTTTTGGTTATTGCAGCAGCATCTACATAACTCTTCAACATCCACTCTCGCATTTAAAAAGAGCTTTTCGAGGTTTCCAAATCCCGTAAGGTCTTCGATGGTGTACACTAGATAAGCAAAATACACAAGATTTTGTTAGAAACCAATCATGTTAGATTGTTTATAATAAGTACTATCAATATTTAAGCGATAGGTGTAACTTGTATCAAATAACTGCCGTGCTAGTCCTGATAATCAACCTTTATTTATATTTTGTATACCATTGGCTCACCAGAAATATGCATTCTTAAAGCTTTCAAACTTTTTTTTTTCCTCAGTTGATTCATCACGGATGCGAATACCTCCATGTGCTCACTGTGGTAGTTTTCTGGAGTGTATCTCAACTCGACACTGGTCAAGTTGTCATTCTCTTCAATGGCAAGGTATACGGATTTCCAATATATGTTCTTTGCCTTCGCTGGGAAGCTCTTAAGACGTGTGTAGAGCTCAGAGAAGTCGATAGTTAAGCTTGCCGCAGAGCTCAAATAGAGTAAGAAAAAACTTTTGTAAAAGTCCTTGTCCCACTCATAAAACAGTTCTCCAAACGGCTTGCAGCAAACGATAAAATTAATTAAGTCAACATACTTTAATTCTTTCGGTGTATTTGTTTTATCGCAATTGTTTTTAATTTGTTTGAATAATTCATAGTAGCAAAAGTGGTTTAAATCCAATATCGTTATATGACCCATTCTTTTGTGTACACTCTTAACTGAGTATCTCTCATAATATGCACTTTAAATATTGGGGTTTTTTGTTTTTAACAGCACAACAATTTTAGCGTTCCAGTCGTAAGCGAGTTTTAAGTAAGACTGAAGAGAAAATTGTGAGAATGAGCTTTTATAAGTAGAGATTTTGAAAACTGCTCTCTGAAAATTGATGTCGCGTTATCAGCTTATAGATATAATAAAATGGCTCTCTTTTCTTTAGAAACTATTTGATTCTAATTCTCTTAACCGTAAAATAGCATTAAATAATAAAGCAATAGTCAAAATTATTAAGTATAGAGTACTCTTTAAATAATAAAACATTTGGTTAGAAGGACTTACTTCAAAAATGCAATGAGTTATTCTCCTTAAGAACTTCTGTAAACTGAAACCGAAAATTCAAAAATTCCTCAAAAACCCACATAAGTATATTAGGGTAGGAAATTTGACGATTCTCCCCCCTCTTCTTACCCAATGTATCTGTGATTTACGATGAAAGGTGTACCCTTTCGCGATTTATTCAATAATAATGTCTCAAACAGATATTTTAAGCAGGGCACAATTTACAATCAAAATGGTGAGTACCACCTTCTAAATCATCAAATCAAAAGGTGTATGAAAATTAATATTAATAAATCATTTATCGGAGCAGTATTTTAGAAATTAGCAGGTCTGTCCTATGACCAGAGTCACGTAGGCCATTCAGGACATCGACTCTGTAGACCAGTTTTCCCAAGGACTATATTTTTAAGATTTCTTTAGCCTCAACCCGTTTGTAAAACACTATGCTGGAGACTAGCTCCTCTTTTAGCTGTTTTAGGGTTGAACAAACACTGGAGTTCATATTTCTGAAGAGGCCCACCAGGAATCCCACTCAATAAAAGGTGATAATCAGCCGTGGAAGTCCACCAAGAAGATCAACATTTCCAGCTCCGGAAGACCCACAAATCACTTTTCTGAAAGGTCGGATAGATGAGTAAAAAAAACGATTCAAGTTCAAAAATGTTTTTTTTAATCATTTTTATGTAATATTGTTCGGATCTTAACGAATGTTTGTTGTTATTTGTTAACAGCGTTGATAAGCGGCAACAGAGAGCAAAAAGCCTTGTGTTTTTAGAGCTTTCCCTCTCGCACCCACATGACAGCCAGAAGAGACCCAATCACCGACATTATCTCTTAATGTTATGAAATTCTCCAGACAGTACTCTTTACTTTTGCACAGATTGTCCGTTTGTCTAGTAATATACTCTCACTTATAATGTATAAAACAGGAGACCCCTGAAAAACAGGACCACATCCTGATGACATGCCATCTTCGAGTGTTGCCGCAAGGAGCAAAGCATCAACGATGGCAGAGGCGGTCAAGGAAGAAACAACGGAGGAGAGTGCCATACACATCGATCCTGAAGCTAACATGTTCGTCATCTCGTTGTATGAAAAACATGTTAGCTACAGGATCGATATATACATTACTTTCATCAGTTAATATTTGCTTTTTGACCGGCGATGGCAAGCCGATGTTTTGATCATTGCAGCAGCAGCCGAGGATTGCAGTCATCCAGGATGTGTTTCTCTTTCACAGGGATCTTTTGTTTTTTACATTTTAAAAGAAAGTATATTACTTTATCTGTGGTTCCCTCCTTTATCGGCTCTGCCATCGCCGATGTTTTTATCCCTGCAGCAGCACTCGTGGATGGCATGTCATCCAGGATGAAATTCGGTTACATGACCAATATGTAAGCTACAGGATCGATGTGTATAGTACTCTCATCCATTATTTTCTTCTTGACATCGCCGATGTCCTTCTTTACCGGCCAATCAATCGCCGAGGTTTAATCCTTGCACCAGCACGCGTGGGCTGAGTGTGATCCAGGATGAAATCCGATTGCAAGGGAAACTTGTTAGCTTCTGGATTGAACTGCACAGTACTATATTCCGTTGTTTCCTCCTTCATGGATGTCTGTATCGCCGATGATTTGGTCCCTGCAGCAGCACTCGTGTATGGCATGTTGTGCATGGTTATGTTTCACAGGACTCTTCTGATTCCTACATTATAAAAGAAATTGTATTACTACATAGTATCATCCGTTATTTCCACCTTTACCGGTTCTGCGATCGCCGAATTCGTGTTTTTCATGTCATTCAGGATGAAATCTACAGCTACAGGATCGATGTATACAGTACTCCAATCAACTATTTCCTCCTTGACTGCCTTTGCCATTGTTAATTTCTTGATCCTTGCAGCAGCACTCGTAGACGGCATGTCATTTATGATGCGTTTCTGTTTCACTGGACTCTGCTGCTTCCGACACTATGAAAGAAAGAGCATTACTTGGAAAGCAGAATCAATGTGTACAAAAAAAAAAAAATACTTGAATTAAATAAAGAGTACGAAAACACTTCAGGAAATCTTACATTTCTCGGACAGTTTTTTTTTTGCTAACGAATTTTTGGTTTTCTCGAGCGTCAATGTGGGACCGAATTCAGAGTCGTACTGCCTGCTAAGTATTTTTCGGCTCGATAAAATGACAGCTGATTTCACAAAGCCTACTAAAATGAAATTTTCTAATATCAAGCATAAACAAAACCTAAACAGCTGATGCAATAACACTAGATAACAGCAAAAATTCTGCAATATGGATCTAAGAATTTAGACAAAATTCTATAAATTCCATCCTTCGACGTTCAACGTTTTACAAAATTTTGGGGCTCATATTTTTCCTTGTATTTTTGGAGACTTTTGTATATCTCGAAAACAGCACAAAATAGAGATCCACATTTTTTTAATGCACAGTAAGATCAAATATTTTTACAATATATATTAATATATCAATTGTAAAAATATTTGATTTTACTGTGCATTAAAAAAATGTGGTATCTCTATTATGTGCTGTTTTCGAGATATACATAGCGTTTTATATACTTGCTTTAAATAGTCAAACATAATAAATAAATAAGTGATTTTTACAGAAAGCATTTGTAAACCTTGTTGCATATATTAATATAATTAAATCAAAGTGAATTCCATTTGAAAATATATTACACATATTAAAGACCTTAAATATACATTCATTTAAATAAAAGTCCCTGTCATACTTCTAGTTAAGACTTTTATTTTTTAAAGTCTTTGTTAACAGCTATGAGAGACTTTTGTAAGTAGAAGTTAAACGTAATTGTTATTTGTGAATTTTATAGTAAAAATAAAAAATTACAGTTATTTGGGACTTTAAAAAAAATATTAATAATAGTTATTAAAAACTTGTATTTTTAAAAGTCGCACAATAAAATTTTATGGATAAACTTATTGCATTGGGAGTAGCCCGTTGTATCTGTATATTTGGAAATTTCTTGTTACGTTTCCATCATAATTTTTTTCATAGGGACTTATAGTTATAAAGTTAAAAAGTTAGTTATAAATATATAACTGTTACTTTCGGTCCCCATAGGTCCCATAGGAATAACCAAAAAAATATTTTGAAAAAATTAAAATTTCGGTGTTTCTTGGAAATATGTTTCTTTTTCATTATCAGAAATTCGAAAAAAAAAATTTTAAAAATTTAACGGCCTTATCCTATACTTGTATGTAGGGTTCCATAGGATCGATCGAATAAATGTCAAAATAATACAAAGACCGTTTTATTTCGTTTTTGGTAAACATACACTGTAGTAAACTGAAATGGAACATTACCCTGCAAATTTCTGTAATTAGTTATTAGTTTCTAAAAACCGTAAAGCGTTGTACAGACAATGCTCCCTCGGGAACGCCCTGCAAAGGTGTAGAAACTTCGGCTTTCCGAAGCTACTTTTCTTTTTGTTGATTTTTTTGTTTGATTATGCATGCATGTCAAAGTCTAACAACGAAATTTGTTTCAGCCGTTTCTATTCTAATCTAATAATCTAATATTTAATATATTTTTTATATATTACTTACTGCATAATAACTGCCGGAATTTCAGAAGCTAACATGTTTGTCATCCGGTTGCTTGGTCCTTGCAGCAGTACTCGTGGATGGCATGTCATACATGTGTTTCTGTTTCACTGGACTCTCCTGCTTCTTACATTATGAAAGAAAGTATATTAATATGAAAAGCAGAGACAATCTGTGCAAAAGTAATGAGTACTCTATGCAGAATTTCGCCGGTATCGCTGAAGGCACTTCAGGAAGGCTTACATTTCTCGGACAGATAAAGTCCCTGCTAGCTAGTCTTTGTTTTTCTCGATGTGAGTTCGGACTCGGACTGCCTTTCCGGCTCGATAAAATGACAGCTGGTTTCACAAAGCCCACTATGATGAAATTTTCTAATACAAGTATCAAGCATACAGTGCATCTGCATTTTCTTCTCAAAAAAATCCCCAAAAGCCAAGTACAGAAATCACATAGACTGGTAAAAATACTGATTAAAACACTGAAATACTGTTATGATTTACGTGTGCGGTCCAATTTTCCGCTGAAGCGCGTTGTTGCTTTCACCCGTCTCTTTCTAGCACCTGTATTCATACCCCTTTCCTTTTCTTTTATTAAATTCGTACAAATAGAGTAGATTTTATTGTATAATAATTTTGCTCAATTAATATTAACTTTTCGTACCAAAACCGTTAGGGAATGGTTTAACCCTGACACCCTGTCTACGCCCCTGTCATAATTTGTTATTATTGAGTACCTTGATGTGCCATAGCAGCTGTTTTTGTTTATTTCACTTGGGATGGATCGTCAACGATAGTCAAAAAAAAACTAAATACCCAAGACTTAACAAAGACCCCAACTTTTCTCCCCTCTAGTTACCCATGCAAAACTATGTAATATACCAGTTTGAAGCCAATAACCCCACAACTCCATTCTGTTGTATACAGGATTTTATAGGGCATTAATAATGATTCATGTTGGTAGTTATATTTCATTTAAATTTAATGACGTTGAGCTTTACGAAAAATACGAAAACGAGCACCATGGAGATCGTCTATAGCCAGTAGTCATTTAATGCCATTTTTATCAAAATGCGCCAATATGTTGTAGTGGAATCCAGCTATTATTCGCACGGGGCAGCCTATTGATATGCCTATAGGGGCTGTAGATAGTAATCTTCAGATAAGGCGATTAAAATACACTAGATATTTGGTTTTAAAACTTTTTTTATTTAAAGTTTTCTTTGTTTTTCTAATATTTAATTTTCTTTTTTTCATGTGTTTGTTTTTGGAAAGAAAGAAAGTACCTAACAAAGTATTTTCTCTTATAAAAATTAAACATACATTATACAGAGGTTTCGGTTTTTTGTGGTTCTCCTTTTATTTGTTTAAATTTTACAGTTGTATGATTTGCATTTGTTTGTTGCATTTATTGTTTAGTTAAATATATAACTTCTAGGCGAGAGTTTAAATAATTATTTATGTACTTGTAGTTGACTCTGTTAAGTTGTTGGTTGTTTGTTTTGTGGGATGATTTGGCTTCTATGAATAAACTGCTATTGGGCCCATGTGTGTGTGTTTATAGTTTAAATTTTATAACAATAACAAATTATTATACATAGTTATAGCTTTAATAATAGTAATTAAAAATCAATCGATAGATCCAAGCAAATGATACAAATGGCAGAGGACGATCTTGTTGCATGCGTAACTAAAACAGGTGTGGAGGGGATAGTGGGAAATAGGTCGGGGGGCCCAGGTGTTGTGTCCTCTTATCCTGCTCTGTTTGAATTTGAAATGTCTTCGATCTTTTTTACAATTTGAAATTGATTTTCTTTTTATTGTTTATTTTATGTTGATTGGCTTTACAACTATTTTGTTTTCTAATTAAAAATTATGTGTGTGTTGGTATTATTTTACTAATTTACAGACAGTTCTAGCCCAAATAAGTTGTTTGATAAGGGGGAAGTATTCGTTCGCTTTTTGTGTGTGTTACCCATTTCTTTTACATCGTATTCCTGATTCTCCTTTTGCTTCTTCTTTGTTTTGTGTTAAGGCTAAAATTGAAATTTGCTTATAAAATGTGGCTCTTCTTGCTACAACTTCTCCTTTTCTCTTGTGAGGCTGAGTTTTTGTAAAGTAGATTTTGTGTTTTCTTTTTTTTCGCTTAAATTAGTTTGGGTTATAAATTTAAATGTATATATTTTTACGCTTAAAACTTTACACACAACTTAGTTTCATTAAGTTTTGCTGATTTGCTTTTTTTGTGTTTTGTTTTTGGATTTTTTGTTTGTTTGTAGTTTTTGCAATCAAATAATTTAATAATTTGTAATTTGCTGGTTTTTGTTTGTTTTTTTGTTGTGTTTTGCAATTTGTATATAATTTAAAATTATAAACACCCCCAGAATCCCAATTTTGTAGACATATGTGTGTGAGTGTGTTACGTGGACGTCGCCTCCTAGGGTACATAGCCATCCGAACCGAAGTCGAACAGCCGATCGATGCCCTCGTTCGCGTTCAGCGCATACGGATAGTCATTGTCGTCCGGCGGATTGATGGACACAAAGGCGATGCTGTTGCCGAAGTCTGTAAATAAAAATGCAACATGTTACTGGATATTCACGGAATATTTCTTAGAGTTTTGGGCATGACTGTTGATGGCTTTACATTGGATTATTGTCGATCTTATTGCCGTGGACAAACATAGAGGAGGAGAGAGAGAGCTGATAGAGCGAGAGATGTTGTGGATGCATGTTTGAAATTCACGCCAGAGCTGAATCTCATGGTGCTACAGAATTTCAATTTCAAAATGAACAATTGGCCCTGGAGCGGTCAGTGTTGTCAGTGCAGACCCACGAGAATTCAGTTCCAAAATGAATTTGACACGAGGACGATTGCTGACGAGGCGGCGGGTTATATGTCGATATATATATACATTTATGCACAATTATTATTACATTTTTATTTTGTATTATTAGTAAATGGTTAGCATGTTGATGTGAGCACAATGTAAGAGTGAATGTTTTGGGTGGAACACCTGTTAGATTAATGGTAGGTGGTTATGTTTTTTCTTTTTATAGAGGCTTGCCACAGAAATCACTCGGGTTTGAATTTCTTTTTAACTATTTTTTGTCTGCCAGAAAACTTGACGCTCTGGAAATTTTTGAAATAATTTTGGTGGTGGTTTGCCTTTCCGCAGATTTATGTGACACCCCTAATAGAACACAGCATAACGAATTGGTTTAAAATAAAAATTATAATAAAATCAAATTGTCAATTTTGAACTGATTCTCGTTGGCCGAAAGGTTGCAATAACAAAATAAAAGGTGTTGGAAAAACATTAGAAATTTTGAAAAACGTTTTGGTTTCAAATCCCTTGATTTCGGGTTATGTTGCTGTGAGGATCTCACGCTCAGCAAGAACTCAGACTGTGATGCGGCTTTTGAATACACGCAGGTCACAGAGAAAGTTCTTGACAAGTGCGCCTCATTCGGATCTAGATAAAGTCCCCTGCCAGATCCTCAATTAGTTGTTAGCTGCGGTTATATACATGGTGACAACACAAAAACACAGGCAGATGCAAAATGATCATGGATGAATGAGCGGCGGGCGAATGCAAGCATGATCAGATTTAAGTTATTTACAGTAGTGGTCAAAACAATATAAGATGTTACAAGAAATTACACATATTATGGGAAATCAATTTAGTAAAGGTGTTTCTTTCATATATTATTTTGACCGCCTGGGAGAAGAGGACAACCCAAGGTGGCCACAAATACTTACAGTCCTCCGAGCCAAAGTCGTACAGGAACGGTTCGAGGCCTTGGAGCGTTGTGTTGCTGCTGTTGCTGTTGGCATCGCAGTCGGCAACGCTGGGCGGCAGGCTGTGGCGGTCATGGCTGAACGGCTGATGGGGATCAGCGTTGGCGCCAGCGCCAGCGATGCTGCCATAGCCGCCGTCAACGCCATCAACGCCGCTGCTGCTATTGTTGCTGTCCGCGACGGCAGCGAATTGCATTTGAAGCGAGCTTATCGCCGACGATTGGGTTGCTGCTGCCGTTCGCGACGTTGCTGATGCCGCTGCTGCTGGTGCTACAGATGTTGTGGTTGCGTCTTCCATTGCACAATTATACATGGGCACATCGCTGCGTCGCTGACTGCTGCCGTAGCCTATTGTGGGTGGTTGGGAGTGGCTGTTGCTGTTGCTGCTGCTGTGGTTGCTATGATTGCTGTGGTTGCTGTTATGACTATTAAGCGTAGTGGTTGCTGCTGTTGCGCTGCCTGCGGCAATTGCTGCGGCTGCTGCCGCCCGACGACGCTTTGTTGGCGTTGGGGGCGAGGATTCGGTTAAGCTGCTAAACAGCTCCTGGATGGAGGTCTGCTGGTGCTGGTGCTGCTGGAACTGATGGCTGCGGACCACCGGATTCGTCAGTGTCGGCACCAGCTGACTCAGCTCCGTGTCCACATCGTCCTCCTCCGGCTGCTGCAGCAACTGTTGCTGCTGCTGCTGCTGGTTCAGATTATGATGCTGGGCCATCGCAATATCACAAATGTTATTATATTCAGGCTGGGACTGCTTGGCGGCTTCCTCGATCGATTTGCTGAGGTTGCGGGCCGAGCGGTAGGGCGTGGGAACTGCAATGAAAAGCAGGAGAAGTTAATAAGGAATACTTACAAGATATAATTAACAGTAACATATTCGAGAAAACTATTATATTGATTTCTGTATTATATAGTATGGTACTACACAATGTTGCCCAGATTTATATTTAACCCGAAAACAGTTCTTCAAAGCTGTTCCGCATATTACTCACCAAATCCCTTGGTGCTCAGGGCATCGATATTGTTGAAGAGCGGATCGTTCAGCCGCTGGTTGGTCAGCGGATGCAGTCGGGTGGAGGTGGCCGTCCGCACGCATCCGGCTCCGGGTGCTCCAACGTAGCCGGCGCCCGCCGCAATCGGCGAGTTCTCCGGCGAGGTGTCATGGCAGAGGAAGACGTTGATCTCCCCGCTGTTTTCCGCCTTCACGTAAATCTCGCGCGGCAATTTTGTGTTGGGCAGCTGGACAACAACAAAAAAAACAGAACAAGAACGAAACCCGATTATTAGCCAAATTCCAGATGGATGTATATACCATAATTAAATACAGATAAATGGCAAACGGGAAAGGGAAACTAACTTTCAAGTTGAAGGGGGAGCGGTAGAAATTTTTAAGCGGTCGCCGACCGTTCGGCAGCAAAAGAGAAACACAAATGAAGCGAGCCTGAGAATGAACAGCATTTTTTGCCGCACGCGTATTTTTAGAAATGATATTTTGCTTTTGCCGTTTTGGCCCCCCGTCGCCTTCTTTTATTTTATTTTTTA